AAAAATACTACAGTTACATCATATTTAGTGTCCCACGCCGCTGGGCGAGTGAAATTTTTATAATTCCAAAAAACAGTGGCCACAATCAATAAAACCATGCGAGTCAGTGTGGAAGAAAATATGTTGCTGTTTGTCGAAAAATATTACAATGTAGGACAAGATGTATTTAATTTTCGTTTAATAAGGCCGATAATACCAAACAACAACAACATCCATGCACTATTACCACGCCCGAACAGAATCACCCCCTCCCCCACCCCCAAAAAGAAGAAGATATAACATTAAAGATAAAAATATTACTTAGGCCATTTATATACTTCTATAGCCCTATCCATTGCATGTTCAATATTCGAGCATTACAATGGCATGTTAAATAATCCCGACATGACTTCTAAAGGTAATACATTGGTTTCTTATAAATTGCCTTTGACTAGAAAGTCTTAGCGGCGGTGTTTCTGGACAGTGGGTGCTTTTAGCTGTATGTAAATGAATAGAGTCCTTTTTTTTGGGGGGGGGGGGGGGTCATTTAAAGAGAAGGTTTAGTTCTGGGGAGAGGTGAAATATAATCATTGTTATTGTACAAATATGGAAAAACATCAGAGAAAAAATACCCGAAAAGCATGGCCCGACTTGTATGCCTCATGTGTGTGTATATACATCTTTCTGAGTACAGTGCTTGTTACTTTATCTAGACTTGGCCAAATTTCGAATAATTTTTATGACTCCAGAACCTTGCAGTACACACCAATACTTTTATGCTACATTGTCAACTTTTGTTCTGATTGATTCCACACCGTGGCTTTCACAATGCAATCGCATGACCCAAACTCAACTTTATCTTTAAACCATTTCTCTCTAATATTTTCTGTTGTTGAGGTATTCTTGCTAAAATGTATTTGACTAAAAACATTGGTAAGGAAAAATGTTGTCTTTCTGTAGTATGCAGGCCTGAAATGATCACCCCCCGTATGTGTCGGTATTCCTCTCCTCTACAATAAAGGACCAATTATGTTTATTGTTTTCCGTGGCCAGAAAATGTGATGAAATAAAGATACTTTATGATTTAAAGCTTATCTGCCGTAGTTTACAGGAGGGATTAGACCGCTCTGCAAGGTCACTGGACAGGTGGTTATCTCATCAACTCAGCTCTCAGTTAACATAAGAAAAAGAGGCCTGGGGGACCAATGGTCACCGATTAGGAATTGTTTATTATATAGAGGGCGCAAGTAGCTACCAGTAGTGCAGTGGGCCTTTAAGGTCAGTCATGTATAATGCCTGATTCCTGTGAATATATCTTGATATGAACTGCATACAAAAAATATAAAGTGATTCGCCATTTTGAATTGGGGTTTGTGTTGTGATTGGTTTAAGATTATGCTATTGATCTCGTGGATTTGGGGTTCTCTTGTTAATTCATTGTTTGCTAGCTTTGACAGCTTTGACAATATTAATTGCAGTTGGTATACGTTTTTAAACTGCAATGGGAATATGAATATGAAATATTGATTCAAAACGATTAATAAGAACAATGTGAATACCAACTTTCCCCTTCACCGTTTACTTTATTACTAAGCTTGATTTTATACGTTACTTGTTGCACACGATGATACAAGTGATAGTTACAGTAATGTTCTAATTTAATTTTCATGCGTTGTATCGGCATGATACGAAATTAACTAAGCAATCCCACATTTGAACTAGCTACAATACAGGGTGTCTCTGAAAAAAGAAACGCAAGCTTATATACGTAAATTACTAAATAATCCTAAATTATTTGTGTCATTAATGTATACATTAATGACAAGCTCGTTTTCCTTTCTATCAAATGACAAAAAGAATATGATTATAAGATCACATATGACTGATTTAAGACAAAACGTGTCTATAATAGTAGTTTTGAAAGTCATATGATTTTGGAATATCAATTATCAAAACTCATCATGTAAAGCGTGATATTCTCATCTTCCATTTTAATGATTTAAAGGCTAGCCTTACTCTCTTAATTTCTAGGACTTAAATTTTAAATCCATTTTGAGACTTAAAATATTTCAAGTCTTTAAGACTTAATAAATTGGGAATTCGACTAAAAGTTTTATCGAAACCAGCTTCTAGATATAAATCTTGGAAAGACTTAAACTTCTCGCCAATAAGATGTGCATATTTCCAGTTGCACCTGTTGATGACTGACTGTTGGCATATTTCCAGTTGAACCAGCTGACACCAATTAATTTGCATATTGAATATGGGGTGCGTGCAGATCTATGTTTTTTTAACAATTTTTCTGAATTTACAGCACATTTCTTAATTACTGATGATTTAGGTATATGCAATTCATTTCGAAAATACTACAAATATAAATTACAAGTTATTAGGACATTTCGCTACTTCGTATGAATTCCATTTAATTAAACATGAATAAGGGAAACATTAACTATGAACTAAAATAATTTCAATAAAATACAAGTATATGAAAAAAAATTCGATTAATTAAATTATGTATAAGTCTACTTATTACCGATGCCTTTACATTGATAATACAGACGTACCAGTATTGAAGTGTTGTTGCCGTTCAATTGGTTGGAAGTTTTACCAAATGGTTCTAATGGCTTAGCTAGACCAGTAAATCTAAAAGACTTGAAATATAAATACAATTGACTTAAAGTTGAATTTTATTAACTTTAAATCTTTCAGGGACTTAAAATTTTAAGTCTTAGCTTAGATTTATTTTTGAAATGAATCCAAGAAAGGTTTAAAATAAATATTAAAAGACTTGAAATATAAATCTAATTGACTTAAATTTTAAACCTTTTCAGGGACTTAAAATTTCAAGTCTTAGCTTAGACTTATTTTAAATCCCAAAGGGTTCGTCACTAATATCAGTCTCTGTTAGATTTAAAAGTAAGACTTAAGATTTAAAAATAAGACTTTCAAATTTAGAGAGTACTGCCTACCTTTCACACTTTATTGAAACAATATCTCTCAAGTTAATCATGTTTAGGGTTTACAGAAAGTTTACCTTGGGCGCTATGATTATGAAGGTAAGTTATATATATATATATTTATAAGCTTTTCTATTATGTGCACATTAACAACAGACAATTCAGGATTAGTGAGTAATTTAACGATAAACTTGGGTCTCCCTTTTTCAAGGACATTATGAACAATAAAGTTTATGAATACTTTAATGAAATCGGTAATGAATACAACCAAATAATCAACAGTAAGGTACATTTTTCTGAGTAAAATACGTAGTAATATCAATTTCGACTAAGCAATTTTAAATTAAGAAGCATATGAAACTGTTAGACAATATAATTATGCAACAACAATGTCAATTCAAGAACTGCATGTATTTAAGGTATAAAGCCTCAAATCAGAATATATTGTAACTCCTATGTTTTTTTTCTTCATTAGTTCTTCTTAAATTGTCTATATTTCGTCAACCAACGCAGGAGTACATTTATTTTTCCACGATATTTGCCAAATTTGTTTGTCAACTGTATTTGGTGTCGCTATATGGTCTACTTGATAACGCATTGGCGTTCTCTCACAATGAAATCGTTCGATTCCTGGCGAAGACAATTTTTTTAAACCTTTGCAGAACAAATTAAAAAGAGGACAGCATTGGAGAACTTTGCTTTAAGCTACACAACCGTCATTGTCTAATTTCCTTTCGCATTATATGTATATATATATATATATATATAAATCGTGCCATGACTAAACATGACTAAAATGAATTGAACAAACTAATCATCGTACCATCACCATCATCATTAAACTTTTTTTGATAGGCAATGCCTTTCCTCTGACTAATACACCACAACATATCATATATAAACAATCTTCTGATCATGACTACTTCGACAAGATACATATACATTGTACATATATAATTTCGTCATTGAAATAACAATTATGAACAAATGAAAATATGCTGGGGGAATGCGGATGGGGAGGAGTTCTATGTGGTCTAATGGTTAAGGCATTGGCGTTCTAGCCAGTGACCCGGTTCGATTCCCGGCGGAGACAATCTTTTGAAACCTTTGCACACACACAAAATCAAAAAAGAGGACAGCAATGGAGAAATTTGCTTTAAGCTACACAACCATCACTGTCTATTTTCCCTTTTGCATTACATATATATATATATATATATATTATGTCATGACTTAAAATGACTTAAATGAATTAAACAAAAATCATTATCATCATTATACGTTTTTCTTAAAAATTGAAAAGACCTCTTCTTTGAGTAATACACCACAGAGTACATATAAACAAAATATTCTAATCATGAACGCTTCGACAAGGTTCATAAAAGTTGTACATACGTAATTTCGTCATTGAAATGTAATAATAAATCGAACCAATTAATAATTGAAAAATATCATCTTACCATCATCATTATCATTATACGTTTTTCTCAAAAAGTGGATAAACCTCTTCTCTGAGTAATACACCACAAAGTATCATATAAACAAAATATTCTGATCATGAACACTTCGATAAGGTTCATACAAATTGTACATACGTGATTATTTCGTCATTGAAATGTAATAATAAATCGAACCAATTAAGAATTGGAGAAAAAAAATCATCGTACCATCATCATCATCAATATACGTTTTTCTTCACTAATGGAAAGACATCTTTTCTGAGCAATACACCACAAAGTATCATACACAAAAAATGTTCTGATCATGAATACTCTGATAAGATTAAAAAAAATTGTACAGATATAATTTCTTTTTTGAAATATAATAAAGATGATAACAAATAGCAATCACCTGGTTAGCCGAATACATTGTGACTGAATGATGGTAATTGCAAAAAGCTCGGGGAAGGGGGGGGGGATTCTTTGTGGTTTAGTGGTTTAGGCATTGATGTTTACAGCCAGTGACCCTGCTCGATTCTCGGCGGAGACAATTTTCTTCAACCTTTGCAAAGAAATTTAAAAAGAGGAAAGCAATGCGGATTTTTTTGTTTGTTTTTATGAGCTTCACAATTGTCATTGCCTAACTTCCTTTTCTGTGTGGTTTAGTGGTTAAGGCATTGCCGTTCACAGCCAGTGACCCGGCTCGATTCTCGGCGGAGACAATTTTATTCAACCTTTGCAAAGAAATTCAAAAAGAGGACAGCAATGGGGAAATTTGTTTTTGTATGACAATTGTCATTGCCTAATTTCCTTTCCCATTATATATCATGTCTTAACAAAAAATGATAACAATTAATTGAAAAATACGTTTAAAAAAAAATGACCTCTTCTCTGGGTCATACACTATAAAGTATGGTAAACAAAACAATGGTATCATAATTAACAGCATCGATAAAATACATATTAATTGAAAATACATAAATTCATGATTGAAATATAATAAAGATGATAACAAATTACCACACCTGGTTGCCCGAATATGTGATGACGGTATATTGGTAATTGCAATATGATCGGGAGAGGGGAAAGGGACACAGTCGACACCCAGTCCAGTCCACCCCTCCCCTGCCTAGTATTCCATTGGAACATCATGTTCTCTTAAGACCTTATTCTTGCTTTGATATTATTGAATAAAAAGCCTCTGTGTTTGGTGCTACCCTCTGCATCCTTATATGGCAGCATCATTGTTGGTAGAAGTACCATAGTCGTTACCGTCAGTAGCTTTGCTGGAATTAGTTGAATCTAGAGTAACACTGACCGTGTCAGCATCCGTGGTGGAGAGAACACCATCACCTCTCTCAGTGACATTTGCGACAGATGCATCAAGAGGGAGACTGACCGTCACGACATCGGTGCTTGTTGCATCACGATCCGTGTCCTTCTTCTGTTCCTCGGTGAAACTCTGGATATCTTTGCTCATTGGTGGTGTGACTCCTTCCTCCACCTGGCTAACATCATAGGTCGGATTGAACCTACACATAGGGTCGGGTTTGTCGTCTTTGGTAGGCAACAAGTAATTATCCGAGGCTCCTGGACGCAATTTGCTTATCACGCCAGATGACGAGGATAGCCCCGTCGAGCTTACCACACCGCTGGAAGTGCTTGCTTCTTTCTTTAGGAACTTGTCGAAACAAGTTAGCCCCCATTTCTTACGAATGAAAGGCTTCCGGACGCAATAGAGTAGAAAGATGAACAATCCTTGGAAGGAGTTCAGGACGACGAAGATTGGCTGAGCCACCTGTTATAATAACAACAAATTTGGCATTATAAATAATAATTAGGTATATGGTATCCTCTCTCATGTTCTTCAAATACTAGACATCTACAGAGGTATTGCTGGTGTATCTAATCATTATAACATTATAGTTCTCAAGATACTTCTTACAATAGATATACACCACGCAGTTGGAATTACCTGACTGAATAACGGGATTAAAAGAAGATATCCGGTAACCCAGGTCAGACCGAGCAGGAGCAAGATGCAGATCGCGTTCTGGACGCGTTCGATAGTCTCGCGACGTTCTACCTTAGCCTCTCTTTTCACCCGACCAGCGATGTTGGCTGACCGGAGCAACTGTCGAACCACCAGGACAAAGATGACAATGTTGATGAGGAGGATGATGGACATGGGAATCAAGAGACCACCGATTCGAGCCCAGAATTGTAGAAAGCATCTATTGATAGTAAATATGCATTTTTTAAATAGACTGAATTAAGTCAATCAATAATGACTATCTTAGCGATAGTTTTTTTTAAAATGTCAATGGTCCTTGAAACATTTTAACTGAGAAAATGTCATTGTGATGATTTACCATCATCTATTTAATGGAAAGTCCAAGCGTAATTGTCCATACGCTATCAACAATATCTGAGATTTTAGTATGTATGGTGACTAAATTCGCTTAGTGGCCTTTATAAAACTTGGATCACTATACATACCCGCGAAAGTGATACTTAAATACCAATTCCAAATAAAATTGCGTACTTGCTAACTTATAAGTTACCAAAATACCAAATACCTAAAAACCAGATTAAATAATAATTAATATAAAAAAGGTTCTCATAGAGCGCTTTCCACCGAAGTCTCTGAGCGCTAAAGGCAAGCCTTGCCCTGGAATTGCATCCTACATGATCAATACAACCCCTGTGCCAGGTAAGAACCACGATAACGTACATAAATATAATTTTACTGAATCCGAAATTTGAAGATCATAAAGTATAACTAATGCTATGCAATCCAATATTCCAACTAAACTTTCAAACGTTACCACTTACAGATCATCATGAGCATAAGAGTCTCTAGCAATAGCTCCAGTAAGAACCACGATAAGTACAGGAATTCCTGTAATGACATACGTGTATGAGGAAATACAATTGTTTTAGTAATCCAAAATAAGCCTACATTAGTCGTGGGCCAAGCTCTATCTTTTCCCCGTTTTTTGTATAGGCCTACTTATGTTATTCTTCTGCTGTCCAGCTCACAATTTTTTTAACACGGTCATGGCGGCACTATACTACTTTTTTAAAAAGATAAAGATATCTCGATTGTTATACTATCCGGGTTTTCTTTGTACAAATCACATGCCATGTCGAATGTCGTTAAATAATGGTTATAACGAAAGAATTACACATAAATGGCAACATTTACGAATTCATGTGCACTGTTGGACTATAATCCGTTTGCAAAACCATGCATACACTTCATGTTAATAGTAAGCAATATTCCCATTAAAAAGATATAATGAATCAAATATCGTACCCCATGCAGCTAAGGAAGCCTTGATCATGAAATTCTGGATGTAGGTGTTAAAGATCTTCACGATAATGAGGTAGGTATTGTACCCTTCCACACCCATCCATGCAATAGAGGACAAAACGAAGAAGTGAACTAGGGCCGTCAGAAACCCACAGGGTCCAGCTTGGACCTCACGATAATCTCTGGTTGAATCGAGAGAGATCATGATGACAAATGTCGTGTAGAGACATAGCAATGTCAGACACAGACAGATGAAGATCTTGTTAGCCTGTTTGGTCCTCAAATCCCTATCAAGATTGGAACATTAAAATAAGGTTAGGAAAGCGTCGAAGCAATATTGTACCACACATGTACAAGTTTACCATCACCTGATTGGCAACACATTAACAAAAACGCCAAACAAGAAGAAAACGAAATAAAATCGAGGGGAAATGTTTGTAAATTGAGGAGATCACGTGGTTGTGCTTTACTTTTATACATGTATCTCTTTTAACACTGGACACAACCATCAGAATGGCCACGCGTGTTGAATATAAAATTATCTGAGTGTAACTATTTTAGGACGGTATCAAATGGGAGAATAGTACGCCAAAGATGTTCGAAATTAATATGCTTTTTATTCTCTGCAAACCGCACACCAAACGGCAGATGGTTTGCTTTACGAAGTTAATAGAGTATCAATGTAGAATATATTGATATGCTACAAACAAATGATTACTAATTGCAACCTATTTATGACTCTCGTCACACCATCCCTTCATCACCAAGCAAATTAATTCAAAAGCTTCCAAATAAAGTTGAAAATAAAACGACCAGAGACTAATTACACATTCTGTCTCATTTGTGTTACATTAATGATTGCATTATTTCTTCTTAATGGGCTCACTTGTTCCACAGGTAGGTTGCCAATGTGACAAGAAGACTGAAGATAGAAATACAGCATCCAATGTAAGTCAGGATGTTGTACGCCTCGATTAATGAACCCTCCTGTCCATGGATATCCTGTAACATGAAAGAAAATTGAGCCCAAACTGAAACATCTACTTCGAATGCTCAAATAAAACTGATTATTTTACGATTATCTCTCATAAAGTCTATGTGTCGTTAATTGAAAACTGAGAAATCTGGGGTTCATTATAATAGAAAGTGGTGACACCTCGTATTACTAATGGAAACAAAATAATATCACTTTACTACCTTTCACTCGAGACACCACACCTTCAAACTTGTTTTGATCTCAAGAGTGAAAATATTATTCATACCCAATTGAAGACCAGCATTACAGTGTGCTAATTATTATAAAAAAATCATCTATAAAAAGTTAATTATTATACATCTTACGAAAGAGTGTTTTATCACAAATCGTTTGGCATCATTTTTTGTGGCATGTGTTTATGCTTGGATGCACAGGAGGCGTTGTTTGCGAAAGTGCAAAAATCGACTTGCGCCAAAGTTGCTTACGTGATGTTTAAAAAAAACAATTGGGATTTGGGTATTAATTCGGTCTTTGCAGATCCAAATAACATCCCTAACAAAATTAAGCATGCCACACATATCAAATATCGAATATATAATATCAACGAACATTTTGTGCGCGCGCGCGTGTGTGTGTGTGTGTGTGTGTGACTTTGCGTGTGACCATATGCAATGCATTTCATTTGATACATTCAACTCATTCTCTCACTCCACTAATCCGCTTTTCACTGACCATTATAACAGCGAAGTTGGTAAGATGATCACACGCACAGCGCACGATCTCCTCATCAGAGCGATCATCGGATGATGTGATTCCAGAAACAAGAACACATCCATCTTGGGACCAATCTTCCTGCTCCTCATCCCAGAATGAACACATGGGATTCACGTATCCAGACTATAACAACAAACGTAAGACCCATAATAGAGTTAGTTAAAAAGACATAAAGGAAGAATTAATGACAACTTTGATTGGTTTAGTTTAAAGCCCATTTGTCATGAGGGGAATCAAACACAGGAGTAAAAAGAAAAAAGAGAAAATAGATTGCTATACATATAATGTTTACATTTCCCCCTATATATAAATATATATATATATAAATATATATATATATATATATATACATATATATATATATATGTCTAAAATGTAATTATCTATAAATACTGCTAATGGCAGATTACAAAATAATAAGTGTACTTTGTTAAACAATTTTATAATGACATTTATTGTAATAGGTCTTACCATTATTGTAGTGAAGGTAAAGTTGATGAACTCGGTCAATGCTGCAACTTTCCCTCTTCCAATACTGAGAGAAATCACGGGAGAGTTAGCCGATCGATTGAAGTCTTCATTAGCTGCACTGAATGTGCGCAATGATTTAGAAATAAACAGGGATGGAGTTGAAAATACATTGAAGTTGACCCGGACATATTCACCACTGCCATTCGACGGCGATCCTGAGAGTGGGGCCGTGGACGAAATGACGGATGCAACTGAAGGTGGAATGTTCACCTGAGCGATGATGCCTGGTCTTGTAGCAATGACGTCATCGCGGTCATCTTGGGTCGGAGCATCGATGGTAATATTGGCCTTGGTCAGGTCTGAAGGACTGGATCCAGCTAGCGAAAGCACAAGACCACGCATTATGTCGTCAGCAGGTACACTCTGGACCTGTTATGTGAATTTGGATTTTAATTATTATTACTATCATTATTATTATTATTATTCGTATTATCATAATCATCATCATCATTATTTCTAATATTACTATCATTAAAATTATGATTATTAATGTATTATAATTCGGTTGTATTTACAAAAATATCAATATTACTATTTTATTATTGTAATTATTATTAAAAATGGGGAACTGGGAGAAGAAACCTTCGCTTTGAACTATTCTCCCTTGACAAATTCGTTAAAGCAGATCAGTTGAGGTGTTCAAAAGTAATCTAAAATCATTTATATTTGGATTGGAATATAATTAATCATTCCCTTTTATTTCATTTGTCAGTATTTGTATGAAATCCAAATGTTTTTATTTGATTTCTCCTTCGCAATGGCGCATTACAAATCGAATATTATCATCATCATCATCATTATTATTAATATTATTTGTATTATTGTCAATACTATAATTAATAACCTATTTCATTAATATTATTTTAATTATTTTTCTATTAGATCAATTGTTATCATTATTGTCATCATTATTATTGTCATCATTATTATTATTATTTTTATTATTATCGTTATCGTTGATGATTGAAAATGAAACGATTGCAACCATGCACATAAGTTCAAGTAAGGCATCCCACAAATTCAAAATATGAAGAATCATGCACACATAAATGCACAAATAATAATGTTGTTTGGCAGATCTACACAACTGCATGAACAAAAATGGTGAAAGTGTCGCGCCTTGTTGGACACCAGATTGAATGGGACCACAATAGATAAATGGCATTGTCAGGTTTTTAAACCAAATATTTATTTTAAATATGCATGCAAACAATTATACAACTTGGAAGTTAACTTTTATATTAAGTATACTGGAGGATTTCAAATGATTTTCTCGTAGCCTATGATATAAATATAAAATCACCTGTACGGCTATATTTGGTTGCTGAATGAGGAGCATCCCACCATCGGCAACATCAGCACGACTGATTTGTTCCTCAAAAGCCTGGACAAATTTACTTATTGCCCCATCTTCTGCCTCTGCGGCTTCAAGTTCCTCTGTTTCTACCTGAGCTATATTGCTCACAATACTCGTTATAGAGTTTGTTACCTTTCAATTCAAACACAAAGGATGAAAATGGTTTATTCTATAGTAGGATAAATTTGCCAAATCTCGGAAATGAAACTGAATGACGATAGGATATTAAATAATTAAATAACATGAAAGCCTTAGCACAGCTGTTCTTTTAAAGTCGTTACACAACTTCTGGATGAAGCAACTGCCAAGGTGTCAACATGATATGAAAGGGTAGTGAGAGACCTACATCTGTCATAGAACGAATAAGATATTATACCAAAAAAAAAAAGTCTGATACGGGGCAAGGATTTAGTAAATTCTTAATTCACAGTAGTTTAGCTTTAAGGCGTCCATTATTATTAAATTCGATTATGATATTTACCGCTTTCACATCTATGGCAATTTAACACATGTACCAAAAGGAAGGCTCCAATTTGTTTACCATTAGATGATTATCAGAACAAAATAAAATAATTGAATTCATATTCATGTTCAATATAATTGGTCTGGCATCGTGCAGAATACCTCTTCACTAGTAAGATTTTGCTGCACAATGTTTGATGTTATTTCTGCCACAAACGTGATGTCATCTGATGTGATATCTTCGATGTTGGAAGTAACAGACGATACTTGCTGGCTCACTTTACCTGCGTTTTCTTCATCTACGATTACCTAAATTTGAGAGGAAAATATCATTGCAGCATGTTTATATTGAGTGATATGACTTTCTCTCCTTTACCCTAATGAAGCCGAGGTATTTCAAGGATTTCTAATATCGGGGGGGGGGGGGGAGGGGGCATTATGACAGGGGCTGCTTGAGCAGGGGGCGATGGGGGGGGGGGCATTTCGTGACAAAATATTTAGAGGGGCATAAGCGGGGGGGGGGGGGGTAATGAGCACCTTTTTGTTTTACTAAGTACCCCCTTTCCCCCTTGAGGAAGAAAACAAAGGGAAGAAAAATGGAGAGGAAAATTGATACACATATTGAATTAGTATAATGAACATCATGGCAACAAAACTTTTTCATCATTTAGCTTCGTTCATTATTTTTCGCAAAATTTTCAAAACTTACCTACTTTGCAGTTTTACAGTATTAAAATGGTTGGGAAATAAGTTGTTTGGAATATTTAAACACTTCAACGGATGAAGTACATGGTTTGTTTAAAATTAAAATCAAGTAAAAAAACACATTAATTGTCATAATTATCAAATAATAATCGTCTTTTTAAAATGTTCTGGGTATAAAACATTACAAGTTTTCTATTGTTTTTTATGTAGGATGAACCAAGGATGGGTCTCACTTAGTGGAATAGGAGTGTAAACCTTCTTAAAAATGACAAAGATCAAGTGATTTTGAAATGATTATTGATTCATCGACAGGCTAACACACTAGCAAATGGAGAAAATGCACATTTTGATTGACATATGATCAATAATTGTAAGTTGACACCCCTACCGTTGGTCCGAATTGCACAAATTTGGTATCAAAATGTGCGGGGGAATTGACAGAAAAGGAAAAAAACATGGATTTGAAAATTAAAGGGGTTAAGACGCAGCGCAAAACATTCTTACTCATTAGGGTTAAGGTAACATAAAATTAGCGAACATGTTTCCCTTGAAATCACAATTGATCAGGTTTTCATGATCAGTGGCATGTCAAATATACTAAAAACAATTGCATTACATATGAGGGTTCTTAAAACAAGTCTCTTCTTAATGGTTGAAATTTGAAAAGAAAATTCCAAAAACCTGTGCAATTTCGATGAGAATATCTGTGACATTTCTAAATGGTCCGCAATTATCCACAGGTTGCCACTGGCTCTGGGTAATACCATCGCCGATACACAGAGCCCGTCCAATCGGTTCATTAACTGTTCGGTATAAAAATGAAAATACACATATATTTATTATATCAAAAGCACACTGGCAAACAATTATTACCAGATACAATAAAGAAGGGGACATACTAATGAAGTAAAGAAATTCCGTCTATGATTAAAATTTCCTCAAGTAATTCATGACTCTGGAACTTTTCAAAACATTCAACTACACTTGCGGATCTTGAATATTATTGTGGTCGGAGGGCTGGGGGTTTCGGATTCCTGCATTCATTGTATACGTGACCCTCGCTTTAATTCATGTATTGATTTCATGAACACAGTTTAGGGGCTTGAATATCTATGAGGAGGGGCTTTTAGACCCTAAGCCCCTATCTTGATTCGCTAGTGTTCAATAATGGAGTAAAAACAAATTACATCGGTTGAAAATCGTGATATTAAAGCTACTTTTGAATTGATATTGCGATCTAATGAGTCATTCTCGATCGCGCAGTTGCCATTCATTAAAGGGAGTGTATCATGGCAAATACTGGTTAACGCCGTCTACGTCTTTTTTGGACAACTGCACGTAAACGAATGTACTTGATTAACTGGGTCAGCGCGCTAGCGTTCGCGAAACAGACCGAAGTTTTCCCCACGCTTCGGTTTCGCGTACGTTGCACGCATGTGGTGAATACTGCGGTCGCTTCGTCCGTAGTCGTATTATACCCGATTGGGCCCGCGCCATATCTGAACAAGCTAATAGGGAAATTATCATATTGATCGTACGCTTCCCCAAATTAAAGATGAACGAAAGACCCTCAAAACAAACCTTGAGTAGTGTTGAATGGACACATTCCTGTTGAATTTGCCCATGTTCCGTTTTCACCCACCGGAAATTCGACTTTTTCAAAGCGAGGAGATATCCAGGAGATATTTTGGCAAATAGCTACACAAAAAGAGTGAACACAAATTATTTAAAAAAGATCTCTAACAAACTTCAACTCTATGTTTGTTTATTTGATTTAAAGTGAATTGCTGCAAATCGTGCAGGTATTCTTTACAAGAAATGGCCTAGGCTAAGGAACAGTAAGGAACAGTGGCGTACGCAGGATTTTTTCAAGGGGGGGGGGGGGGGGGGGGGTTAACATTTTGTAATCGGGCCGAAAATTTCACAACTACTCAGCCAGCCGCCGAATAAGCGGGGGAGGGGGGGGGGGGGTAAGAGGACACTATTTTATTCATTTTTTTGTCTCGAAATTTGAAAAATTGACATTTTTCTTCGTTTGGGGGGGGGGGGGGGGGGAGGGGGTAAGGTCACCTTTTTTAGGTCAGCCATGGGCATGATTTTTTATTTATTTTTTATAATTAAAAAAACAACAACAAATAAACAAACAAAAAATCTAAGGGTGGGGGTGGGGAAGGGGGTTTTTAGGGGGGGGGGGGGGTTTCCTACAAAATACACACTGACAAATACCAAAGGGGGGGGGGTTCAACCCCCCCCCCCCCCGTGCGTACGCGCCTGCTAAGGAAGTTTAAACATGCAGTAAGGCCAATGCGCCATAATTTAGACAGATAGGTGAGAAGGCGAATTGCCAGAATTTGTCAATGCGCAATATGTTAAAGTTGAGAAAGCGAGAAGGAGTGTATCAACAACCTGCTAAGGCTTCTTGTTTAAGCCGAGAATGCGAGACTTGTCGAACTTGTCGTCTGAAAGAAGGCGTCTAAGCCATGTTTAGCAACTCGTCTTCTTGTCTTCTCAACCTTCGTGACTTTTATCTAATAGTCTTCAACCATTTTCGTCTAAAACATGATCCGGGCCTTAACGACTTTGACAACTAGCTTTCCCGCCTTCTAGGCCCTTACAAGGTGCTTTGGCGAGTTAAATAGGTCGTATTCTCTCTGCACGTTGAAGCTTTCGTATACAATGCAGAGAACTTTGATCACTATAAATAAAAATACAAATTATTTAAAGAAGTACTTTAAAATGAAGGGCCAACAGGCCGCAGAAACAGACAACACCCGCGCAAAAATAAACACATACACACCCACCCACACATACGGAGTCGTACACGTGTGTAAATATACCAATGTATATACATTTATATATATTTATATATCCTTTACGTCAAGGGTGTCGATTTGTATCCGTGGTTGGGGGGGGGGGGGATGATAGGTGCCAAAATATTTTCGGCAATGGATCAAAGCAACCAAGGATACAAGCGTGTGGCAGGCTGCACCCCCTCCCTTCCAAGTCCCACATGGGCTTGATACCTGGATTATTATCCTCTCAAGCGCGTATCCAGGATTTTATTTTAGGGGGGCGTTAGTGAGCACGCGAAGCGCGGAAGTTTGGATGTTTCATTAAATCATTAAAGAAAGAAGACGATTCGTTGTCGTTGTACCGTTCTCGACTCTTAATCCTTGTGTGAATTCAGCCCCCCCCCCTCCCGCGCGAAGCGCGGAAGCTTTGACGTTTCATTATATTATTAGAGAAAGAAGACGATTCGTTGAACCGTTTTCGACTCTTAATCCTTGTTTGGATCAAGTACTCCTTCTTCCGCGCGCAGCGCGGACGCTCTCACGTTTTATTAAATTATTAAAGAAAGAAGACGATTCGTTGTCGGTGAACCGTTCTCGACTCTTAATCCTTGTCTGAATTCAGTTCCCCCTCCCCTTCCCGCGCGAAGCGCGGAAGCTTTGACATTTCATTATATTGTTAGAGAAAGAAGACGATTCGTCGTACCGTTCTCGACTCTTAATCCTTGTCTGAATTTAGTTCCCGCGCGAAGTGCGGAAGCTTTGACGTTTCATTGAATTATTAAAGAAAGAAGACGATTCGTTGTACCGTTCTCGACTCTTAATCCTTGTCTAAACCTTTTTGACGTTTCATTACATTATTAGAGAAACGAGACGATTCGTTCTCGACTCTTGATCCTTTTTCTTCCTACGTCCTCTTCCTTTCTTCTTTCTCTCTGTCTCTTTTTTTTAGGGGGGGGGGGTGGGGGGGGGGACCTCCCCCGCTCCTGGCTCGCGCCTGTATCCTCTCTGTCTTTCATTATTCCTCTCTCCCACTCTCTACTTTTTTTTGCACTTTTGCGCTTCGCGCTTAACATTTAGCTCGTTGCTTTTTAACGCTGCGGCTTTGCATTTGGCGCACTGCATTTCTATGATGCTGTTGATTGAATAAATTGAATAAATCCATCATTTCCTGATGAAACCGTACGAGCGAGTATTCAATTTATTCTTGTCTCATATACGGTTGTCTCATTTACTTCGTTTTATATGTATATATGTATTAAGAACATGAGATAGCAAAATGTGTATATGGAATTATGGATGGTCATCTTGCGAGTAATAACCATTAACTACTCTCATCGGGCTCTCATCATTAATTTCTCTTCATTTGTTTTTGTGATGGTGAATTATTGGGGGGATGATTGTACAGGCCATCCCCCCCCCACCTGAAATATTTGGGGGGGGGGGGGATATATCCCCCATCCCCCCCCCCCGGGGATCGACACTTATGCTTTACGTCGTGTAGTGAACAAATTGTTCATTAAATAGACATGGTCATTAGCAGGATATTTTCGTGTCCTGTGAACGATTGAACAAAAAAAGTAATGCCCTCTACGTACGTGTGAAGGCATGTAGAGGAAACCGACAAGAAACAAATAGTTACTCACTAGTCATTAGTAATATTGGTTGTATTGTTTTTAATTGACGGTTAGGGTGAGGGTTGCGGTTACGGTTTAGGGCTTGGTTAGGGTAAAGGTATCTTGCGTTTTTAAAATTACCTAGCGTACCGATGCCACACGTCCAGTTAAGTGGCGAATTCGGCATATCCCAATCCACTCCCCTTCGGAAGCCAAGTTTAAACAAATGCTTGCAATGAGTGGTATCACGAAGGCGGGACAAAACAAAATGATGACCCCTGGTTTTTCGCGTCACCTACCTGTCATCCCATCAATCTAAGGATACCCCACGTCCTTATACACAATAAATTGACTTTCACAACTACATGTATATGAATGAATTTTGTACCGTTATCTTGAACTGAAATGGTGTTTGAATCGAGAAAACCATCCGATTCATTGGCTAGACTGTCAAGAGATAGACCAATAAGATCTTGTGTCTCCGTTGCCGTCATATTAGTCCGCTCGATGTAGATATTCATGTCAGCTTTGACGCTTCCTGGTCTTAGGGCTCTGCATACAACTGATAGACTCTTTAAACCAGAACTGGTTCGGACGCCTTGCTCCACCTTTATACAGATACAAAATAACAAATATAAAAGATAACACGTTTAATAGATATTTCCCCTTCTAAGACTGATACTCTTTTGTAACTCATTAAAGAATACGTCATAACCGTAAACCCTTCGCATGCAACATTGTGTCCATACTGTATTCATAAGAATATACTTATGATAGAATTGCATTTTTGAAAAAACTTGTAGAACTGAATGAAAGTATCTGTAGCGTAAGTGTAAAAAAGGTAATGTGAAAGAACTGAGATGACCGTTTAAATGTTTGAACGGCTTTTGCTAGGATATATTAATACATGTATATTATTAAGTTTTTATAATGATGGAAAAAAGTTGAGTACTTGTAAAGGTGAGAAATAACTTGTGAGCTTACTCGTTCTGTTGTTTCAGTTTGGACATATTGGAAGAATGTTATAGACCAAAGTGTTCCCTGAGAATAATGGTTCCCATGGTATAAAAGCCATCATATTCGAAATCAAGGCGAAAGCAAGATGTGTCCCACGCATTCCTGACCAAATTACCTGAACGTCGTTAAAGAGCATCACGGACTCAAGCCTGGTCGCACAAACAAAACATGTACTAAAGTGACTAGTCGTATATGAACCTTGTGGGTTTAAACTTACAGCTTATTCAAAAATTGTCTGAAGCAAGTTTTGTCATAATCGAATAAACAAATGCAAAATTATTTGTCACGAAAGAGCTCACAGAATTAGCTTTGACCTTAGAATGTGACCCTCGACAGCACTATAATGGGAAGGTCCCCTAAATGCATATCTTCCTCAAGTTTGTTCACAATAGCATTAATAGTTGCTGATTTATTCGTCACAAGAGAGTCCATGTTTGCAGGTAAGCGGAGGAAGAAGGCCTTCTGGATGCTTTACTCTTGTCTCAACCATGAGAAGAGCTGAGAATGTGTATGCCATATGTACGAGCAAACAGCCTTTACCAAATCCCTGCTAGGAAACTTGTTGCACAACGTACTCGGACTCTTTAATTCAATTGTCTATTCTAAACCCAAAACAATATTAGGCCAACCCTGCAGAATATCACAAGAGCGGAATAGGCCTTTTTGATACGCACCAATTACTTTTAGGATATACTTACATAGGTGCTGATGTTGAGCGCCGTTTCTTTATAGAGTTTAGACGTTTGGTCATGAAGCTCATCGCTGAATGGAATGGCAAATCTAGCGTTCAAAACTATTATATTGGTCAGATCTGAAAATGCAAACATACGTATCGAGAATCAGTGACACAGATTCAGGGGAGGGCACAGAGGAACGCCCCCCCCCCCCCGAGCCAGAGGAAAGGGGGGGGGGGGAATTCTCCTGATGAAGAGGGCTTATAGCAAACAAAAAATACCCAAATACAAGTAACTTAAACATAACTTTAAGAAAATGTCTTTAAAAACGAATTCGATATTAAATCCGTATTTGTATGAGAGCATTTCTCTCATACTGAACACATAATGTACCCAGTATAATCACGATCGTTTTGTTTTACGCGCTTGTATGTCTCAATTGCGATCTAATTTTTGTTGTAGTTATTTCTTACTTTCACGCGTAGCATTAAACATAACATTAATATCTTAAAACTTAAAAGAAATTCATTTTCTGTATATATATTTTTTTCCTATAGAAGTTTGATTAAAGGTAATACAAAGTTTTGAGAAATTTTGAAAATTGGGTGGATCGTGATTCTTACAATGTTAATATATTTGGATGCCCCTGTGGATGTATTATAAGCACTAGACAATTTTGTATGTGGTTTATTTCAAGCAAAGATTTTACCTTTGACATATACAGATGCTCGCATCGTGTCTAAAGTTTCTTCATTTCTCCCCGAGCCTCGGCAGAAGTAATACCCGATGTCACTTGGAGTGACAGACATGATTATCAAAGGATTCTGATTTCCACTGTTAGGCAAAAGGACATCATCTTTGTACCAGTGGTATCGCTTGGCATTGTTGAAACTACATGTCAGCTCCACATAAGCATTGGTGTTGACTATCTGGCTTGACGGATGGACAGAAACCTCCAAAGGAACTGTATTCGAGGTAGGAATTAGAAAATATGACGGCGAATGAAGTAATTTTGTTTTCAATATTGATGATGATAAAGATGGTTAAAAAAATAATAAAAGTAATGATGATGATAATTATAAGTTAGAGAAGGAGAAGAAGAGGGATGATAATTTCCCCCCAAAAAACAGTGAGATCAATTATGATCACAATAAAACCACGACTAATGATAATAATAGAAATTGAAATAATACTAATACTCTACTACCAATACTATTCATAAAAATGATGATAATAACAGTTACATATATATATACGTAAATACCAAGGGGGTGGTAAAGGCACCTACAAAATACTATTATGATTCCTACACTGGCTAGCCTAGCTGCCCTAAGGCCCTGAAAGCATTCAAGGAATAAATTCCTAACAAAGTGATAGTGACAAATGCCTCGTCAAAAGACAGTGGTGCTGTCCTGAACCGCAATCCATGTGATCTCAAGGAGGTAGTATAAGCTCATTGGTGATCCTAAGTCCGGTGATTAGATTTAATTCATATAATAAGCAAGTAATATTTTGTTTACACTTTTTATGAAATCTTTTAGGGTAAGGGTTAGGGTTAGGATAAGGTTTAGCATTAGGGTTAGGGTATGCAATAAATCCCCCCTTTACAAAAATCCTGCAACAACAGATAAATACCCCCCCCCCCCCAGAAAAGGGAAGTATTTTGATATTTTTATTTTATATCCAGATATGATGAAAAGACATTCGATTTACTTATTCAGAAATGAAAAGGTTTCGTTGCCATTTAAGAGGGTAAAACATTGTGTAAAAACATCGCCTTTCCAAATTTTGATTCTTATTCACCCGTCTTTCGAAACGATGTGAATCATGGATTTGCAAAACGTAATTTCTGTAAGATGCATACAAGTAAATCGAAACATATGACTTACGAGTTGGTTCATCACAATGGATCCCCTCATAATGATCTTGGCATTCACATTCGTACTGCCCTTGTCCACTAGGACGACAGACACCATTGACGCACGGGTTTCGTTGGGTGCAAGGATCAGCGATACCTGTCAAAAGTTAATTTTAGTAAAATTGTAGTAGCATAGAACTTACGGATGAATGCTTGCAGTTTTATCCTCAGTTTCCTGGTTACCAGTGTCTAGACATAATGTTATGGTGTGTTTACTTTTATGAAGGGTTACTCTCAAAGAAGAAAAACATGTTAAGACGCAACCATTGACAACAGCTTTTGAGCTCTCAACGAAAGTGACGTGCGAAAAACTCGAGATAACTATTTTCCCATAGTTCATTTTTGTTAGAGGCTCATAATTCCGAAACGAAAATTACTCATAACTGAAGGTTCGTTATTCTTAAAATTAAATAGGGTTTATTCAACCCAGAAGATTCGTAATTCCGAAAATTATACAAGGTTCATAATTATGAAAATTAAATGTGATTCAATGCTGCGAAGGTTCGTAATACTATAGACGGGCTTTAACAGACGAGATTGGGTTCTAATTTAATTTGGAATTATGAACCTTCGGAAATATGGACTCTGTTTAATTTTTTTTGCAATAACGAATCCTATAAAAACTTCAGAATGATGAACTCTTTTCCATTTCCAGAGTTTTAGAAAATTGGAAAAATGCCATGTTTACCAAAATAACGCATTTCGCTGGAGTTTATATATGTGTATGTGAATAGTATATATTTACATAAAAAGGTTCATACTTTTGACGTGTCATTGTATGTGTCTTTGTATAGTGAAAATGGCTTCCTAAATTCCCATTCGATTTAGGTGTACCGCTTACTTATTTCACAGTTCGGGCCGAGAAATAGATCCATGCAAATACAATGGTAACCGATTTTATTTTGCTGACAAGTACCTCCATTTAGACAGGGTGTTGGGAGACATGCGTTCCCTGAACACAGAAAAGAGAGCAATGTTAAGAGTTAGAAATGGAAGTAATCATCATGGGAATTATTCCAGAGATCCACGTGGTTGTTCATTATATTTGAATTTATTGGTGAAAATGCGGTTCAACAAAATGTTATTGGATTAAAAAAGAACTACAAGTCAAAAAAAAAGTTTACACCTAAAACATGATTTCATAATTCATCTATAAACATTAAATTATTATACATCTTAAGAAGAAGTGTTTTATCCAAAATCATGTAGTATCATTTGTGTGTGGAATATGTTCACGCTTGGATAAACAGGAGGAATTGTTTGCGAGAGAGCAAAGTTGCTTATGTGATGTTTGAATAAAACACTTGGGATTTGGGTATTAATTTGGTTATTACAAATCCAAAGACCAAAAATTAATCACGCCCGTATCAAATATCAAGCATTTGTGTGCACGTGGGTGTGCGTTACTTTGCTTCTGATATTTTGCGCCGACTGAGCCAGCCGCTGAATAACCGGGTTGAGGTGGGGGTAAAACGCTTTTTTTTCTTTTCTTTTTTTGAAGTATGTTGAAAATGTATTCGAATTATGCTAAAAAAAGCTCAAATTATGCCAGAATTTTGCTAAAAACAGCCAAATTATGCTAAAGGGTCAAAATAATGCTTCGTTTCCACTATGTTTCTCGGCGGCCACGGCAGCCCCGTTTGCCCGAAACGTTGTGCGCCGTGGGATCTAGGCCAATTTTATTTCTGGATTCAAGTTTTGTTAGGTCTTGCCAAGTTTTCTCACGGTCTACCACGGTATCCATGAGGGGCCGTGGGGAAAGGAGATGCTGAGTCCCGGAGGCTCCAAGGCGCACTACAGTTCGGCCCGCGTTTTACCACGGATGCCAGAACGTTCCCTTTCGGCCCGTCACGTTTTGTTGGGGTCCCTCACGTTTCTCAAGTTCTGATCAAGGTCCGACACGTTTTTCACGTTCTGTCAAGGCCTTCTAGGGATAAAACGTGGACGCCGGGCAGCTTTGGAGCACGTTTGTGCCCACGGTACGAAAAGAAGTCCTCCGAAACAAAAGCAATCATTTTATCCTGACATTTCAACGAGACAACATCATAAATGCACAAGATGAAGAAGATTTATTATGCGCATGTTTGCTGGGTGCATACATCAGGTCTTGGCATCAGCAACAAGAAGGCTATCATCAGTTGCAGAGATGGAAGGCCTGGGCCCTGTTTCATAAAACTTGATATCAATAACAAGTTACAAGGTACTGTAATTATAAGCTACTGAGATCATGGCTGAGATCAAATTTGTCATAGAAATTTAGCAGTTGTTATATGTGTTTTATGAAACGGGCCCCAGAGTGTAGCAGGCAGGAAGAAGGCGGATGAGAAGGTCAAGATCCATGTGAGTGCGCGCAAAGGGTTATAGGAAGACAGCAGCATTTGGGTCACTATTCATCATTTCTCACTTGGGAGCTCCCCACCGAAGATGTCAACGCCTCCCAGAAGTATCTGAGGATGCCTCCAGAGCTCTTCGACGAGATCCTGGGAAGAGTAACACCAGCCATCAAGAGAAAAGACACACAGTTCCGCTTTGCGCTCCTTCTAGCAGGTGCTTCTTCTTCAACCTCCTCCGCCTCCGGTTCAGGTTCCAGTTCAGGGACCGGGTCAGCAGCATCAGCACGCTTTCTCATCATCTGGCGACGGTGAACGGCGAGGATCTTCAGGCTGCCAATGCCCCTCTACTGGTGGTGGTGCAGGACTGGGGAGGGGGGGGGGGGCTTCGTACGTCTTGGCTTCTTCGCTGGCATAGCTTGGCCTTCTTTTTTCAAAGCTTGGTCTTCTATCTCTCCGTATTGTAGATGCAGTAATGTGTCGTCGATTGCTCAGACTCGAATAAAGTTCCCCTGCCGGGCCCAGATTTTTTATTTACTCCCTCCCAGGCATGGAGCGCCGTGTCAGAGAGTAGTAGAACGCAATAGGGTGTCTAGTTTTAAACCCCAAACGAAATTTGAACTAACCTGTTGTTGTGCCGGGTGTGGTACCTAGTGTGGTTCCCGGTGTAGATCCTGGTGTTGTTTCAGGGGTTGTATTCGGTGTTGTACCTGGTGTGGTTCTAGGTGTTGTAGCTGGTGTTGTTCCAGGTGTAGTAGCTTGCGTTGTACCCGGTGTTCTACCTGGGGTTTCTCCTGGTGTTGTTTGAGGTGGTGTTTGAGCAGGTGTACTGGGAAAAACTAGGAACAATGAAATGCATTCCATTTCGTAATAATTTAACTAAATAAATTTGTGTAGAATATGACAAATCAAGGATCAAATAACACATTTCCAAATAATTAAATAAAAATTTCCGTTAACTTTGGTCACTCCATCATACTTTTTTTTACTATGTCTAATATTTGAAAAATGTTGTGTGCAAAAGTAGTAAAAACATCCTACCCTTCCACGTAATGACACAATTTTTGCCAATAATATATATAGTTAAGTTGGAAAGAACTTCAAACACACTTATTTATTACAGACTCTCTTTATCCTACTTCAAGAGTACCAATCACCAAAAGTCATTTGCTCCCGTTTTCAGGGGTTTCATGTTGCTAAACAAAATCGAATTTATATTTATAAGCTTCATATATTAGATCTATATAGAGAAACTGCAAGTTTATTAAATACTCTCTCAATTAAGATAGAAAGGGCCCGCACGGAACTCAAGTCCGGCTTGGGATTTTATGTTATTTTTTTTCTTCATACTTAATATCAAGACAAACAAATTGAGGTTGATCTTAAATATTCCTGCTATGCAGAAATATTTACTTTTAGGTAATTGGTATACTATATATGCAAATCTTTCTTAAGTAATTCTTTCTTGAATAGTGCAACACCACATGGTTCCTAATCCAGGCTTCCTCTTTAAGATCATACCCATGCATTGACGTCTTTCATTTTCTTTCTTTCGTATTTTCATGAATTTGTCTTCGATTATATTTCTCTGGTTCAAACAGTGCATTCTATTTTCTCTTAGGGAATCTATTTACACGAGTCCTGCTTCCACAAAGATTTCTTAATATTCCACTTCAGATCTCGTATTATGCTCCTTAAGTATGTTATATAACTCGGTGCGAATTTTTTTACTCCTTTTACTTGTAAATCATCTAACCATCTATCAACTTCACTCGAACCGTTAAACTGACTCCAAACTGACTCCAAACCGACTCCATATGTCACCGATTCATTAGCGGCTGGAGATTGTCATAACGATGTAATTATATGTTCGGTCCCAAATCGGTCAGGAGTAGGTCTTATTGTTGGTGTGACTATAGAGTATGAAGCACATTGAGCCATGCAGTGATATCCAAAAATAAGCTATATTCAATTAAGACAAATCGATGATAATCACATAATCACTTGATAGGTCAATGGAAATTTTCTCAACGTTCACTTTTGAGATTGCTGTAACCCTTTGTGTTGGATAATTTTCATGTTATATCTGGTAAGAAACCAGTTATCACTGCTTCAATACAGTGACCGTTAGATTACACGAATATCTTAAAAGAAAATTAATTCAACACTCACTTGGTAGGTCAATGGAAATTATCTCAACGTCCATTTGGAGACGGGAGTAATTATTTGCTCCTATGACAGCAAACCACATCTCATTACTATGTACATAGACATCATCGGGAGCGTAGTTTGTATATCCAAGAATAGTTGTATCGACAGACTGTATGTCAGACGGGTCGTTCCCTGTCCCTATTTGGACTTCATCATAAACATAAAGATATAAATGTTGGAACACAACTCGAAATCCATTCGTAGCGTTTGTTTTGAGCAAGATTGCATTATAGAACCGTGTTGTGTAGGTCCATGGTAAAGAAATGAAATGTGATTCGCCTGCCTCAATATATGTTGCTGAATCTGTAAGGGGAAGTAAAACGAATTAAAAAAAAAGTCACCTGAACATGATTCTTTTCAGTTCTTCAACAAGGAATCGGAAGATAAGATTCGTCATTTTGAACTGACAGCTTATCTGGGAGCCTTTACCAACATTAAACTTGTATTATCCATACTGCTTGACCCCCTAATTTACTTAGAGGAAAGGATATTCCCCCAAAGTGTATAGACCTAACCCTATATATCAGAGTTCCATAAACAGAGCCCACTGTCGGGTCGTTTTTTTAACCCATCTACCAATGCGAGAAATTTCGCTAGTAGAATTTATGACATGACATTATATACACAAAAACTACCAACTTTGAACAGGAATCGGTTGATATCAGACGCCCCTTTAACACATGGGAGCATTTTTTCCTTTAAATCATATAGACACAATTTGTAAAGGAAAGTTCCCTTTTCATTACAAAATATAGAGACTGGGCCTGTCCTAATATGCAGACATGTATGTTTTCTAAATGATGATATCTGGTACTTGGACAAGACTTTACGTGGTATGTTGAGGCAATTTACGAGGATTAACCCGACAGCTACAATCTGCGTGCCACAATTTGTATCAATGCATTTGATGGTACTTCGAGGGTCGAAATCGTATGGTTTTAAATGGGTTACTATTTAGGACCAGATTTGGCTTCTAGAAAGTTGTGAAAAGTCGATGGAACAGAATTCGACCCCCTAATAAGCAGAGAGCACAAAAGCCATAACCTCATTGACTAAATTATCCATTAAAATTCCACGTGACAAAATCAATCTGTCTTTAAAACTTTGTTCATCGTTGAATCGCAATACACTAATATTATTATGACATTCATAATAAAGTGGAAAAGAATATGAAAGAATGGTAGTTTCAAGTCTTCATATTTCCCAACCGTATTCTCACCCCTCGTTTGTGTACACGGGCCCTGTTTCATGAAACTTGTTATTAATAATAACAGGTTATGATTACTGTAATATTAGCTACTAAAATCTTGACATTTGATTGGCTGAGAGCAAATTTATCATAGTATCTAAGAATTAACATATGCTAGAAAATAATGGAGTACAATAAATACCTGTAATATTTATAAAGAACGCCTTACTAAATATAATTTGTTATTGACTTACTGCACGCTAATTCATCCTCGTAATGTTCGCAGTGGTAACGTCCATCACAAAGGACAGTCGGTGACACGCTCATATTTGAACTTGAACAGGCAAATAAGGCTGGTAGAAGATAGAAGATGGAGAGAAAAATAACTTATGAGTAGGTCATAATGCTCTAAAATGTTACAATCGAATATACTATGTTTCTTTAAATACTTTTAGTAATTAGGCGCGTCAAAATTCACCTATGTTATACTATTATATGTGGTAAAACTGAAAACATGGATTATCTTCATCAGTCGACAGGTATTGAATAATTCTCATTTAATAACCAGTGAGCCACCAGTTATCACTGCTTGAATTAACAGAACTTTAGATTTGTCTGATATTATAAAAGAAAATTAATTTAAAACTCACTTGATAGGTCAATAGAAATGATTTCAACGTCCATTCGGAGCCTGGAGTAACCATTTGCTCCTAATACAGCTAACCACATGTTATTTGTATCTGCATAGACATCATCAGGCTCGTAGCCTAAGTATCCATGGATAGTTGTGATGCCAGACTGTATGTCAGACGGATCGTTACCAGTCCCTATTTGGACTTGACCACCATTATTGAGATACAAATCTCGGAACACAACTCGAAATCCATTCGTAGCGTTTGTTGTTAGCACGATTGCATGATAGAATCGTGTTGTGCTGGTGTATGGTAAGGAGATGAAATGTGATTCGCCTTCCTGGAGATAACTTGCTGAATAATCTGAAAGGTAAAAAAAAAAAAAGGCACCTGTCGATGATTCTTGTCAAATCTTCGACAATAGATTGGTAGATAAGCTTCATCATCTTGCATCGATATCTTATCTGGCAGCCTCTCCTGAATTTTTTTTTTGTATAATCCATACTGCTCGACATCCTTTAATTTACTTAGAGGAAAGGACATTCCCCTTAAATGAATAGACCTAACCGTATATATTAGAGTTCCCAAAACAGAGCCTAAAGTCAGGTCGGTTCAACCAATCTACCACATGCAAGAAATTTTTCTAGGAGAAATTATGACATGACATTAAAAACACGAAAATCTACAAAATATGAAAATGGATCGGTTGATATCAGACGCCCCTTTAACAAATGAGAGCATTTTTTCATTTAAATCATATGGACACAATTTGTATAGGAAAATTTCCTTTCCATTACAAAACATAGAGACTGGCCTGTGCTAATATGCAGACATATATGCTTTCTAAATGATGATATCTGGTGCTTGGACAAGACTTCATGTGGTCTGTTGAGGCAATTTATGGGGATTAACCTGACAGCTACAGTCAGCCTGCCACAAGTTATATCAATGAATTTGATGGTACTTGTAGGGTCAAAATCGTATTGTATTAAATGGGTTACTATTTAAGATCAGTTTTTGGCTTTACACAGTTGTTAGAAGTGGATGGAACAAAATTGGACCACATAATAGGCCGAGAGCACAAAAACCATTGAAAATCTTTCAAACTGTCTTTTTCGTAGAACTGCAATACACTAATAGAATAATGATATTCATAAGAAAGTGGTAAAATATGTGAGAGAACGGGAGTTTTAAGTCTTCATTTTCCGCACCCGCATTCAAACACCATGTTTGTGTACCTTGGCCCTGTTTCATGAAACTTGTTATCAAT